TCCTCCCTCTCTCGCTCTCTCTCTCTCTCTCTCTCTCTCTCTCTCTCTCTCTCTCTCTCTCTCTCTCTCTCTCTCTCTCTGTCTTAGAACAAACATTGTGCTATCTGAAGTGAGTGTGCGGGTGATTAGAAGTTTTGTATTTTATCATATGAAATTTTCTAAGACACCACACTTTTCGATCTGTGTTGTTTTCTCATTGTTATGTGCGTCATTCAGGAGCGTGGTGGCCATTGAGAGGTTCTGGAAAATTCCCGTACGGCTGGTCCATTCCAGGCTGAAATGGGCATGCAATGGCCATACACGAGCTTAAGCCTTGTATCGGAAGAGCACATGGTAGTCCGGCTGGGCTTGACCATGATAGTACTGTGTCACACAGCCGGGTTTTTTTTCCACTTTAAGGTTTTTTTCCCTACAGGGAAGGTCTATGAGGAGGAAAAAGTTTAATGCATATTAATTCGAAAATACTGTGGCGATTGCTTTGACATTTTCAGAGGTTGAAGTGGGCCTGGGTGGAAATGTGCGTGTGAATTTTGGTGGTGATTGGTCATAGGTTAAGCCACCTGTATCTTTTTACATTAAAGCTCCTGTCCCACTGAGCGGCGAACATTTGCGAAAGTTTGCGAAGTTAGTCAATGTGTTTTCGCCAGGGTTTGTTCAAGGTCACAAATGTTCGCCAAACGGTCACCAGATGTTCACTTGAAGTAGGCCTGTACTTTTCTTCTCATAAGGCGATTTGGAAAATGTTCAAAATTTCCTTGCGACAAGAAAAAACACAAAAATTTTGGGTGAATGTCTGACGAATATTTAGCGAACGTTTGGGACCTTCAATGACCCCTAACGAACCTTGACGTTAACGTACATTCATTTTCTACCTTCGCTAACAGTTGCAAATGTTCACCCCTCATTGGGATAGGGGCTTAATCGTTTTTTGACTGTCCCCGAAAATCTTTGTGTAATTGACACCCATTTAAATGAATTGGGGGGAGGGGGGATGAAAATCCAAAAAGAAATTCTGATGAAACATTCAATATGGCTTTTCTACAAATACCCTGAGGAAGTGATGGTGACTCAAAATATATTAAATGAAGTATAAACAGGGACTTTGCGAATCCGCGGACACCGAGTATGCGAGTATTCACTGTTCAATTCTTTGCATGTAACTGGCGCAACCTTGCGGCGCGCTGTCGTACGTACGTCCCTTGCCTCTGATTGGCTGAGACGTTGCCAGGAGTGTTTACAGGAAACATGGCTTCTCTGTCTGTTGTAGAGCCGCAAGAAATGGAAGGTGAGTAAATCATCTCGGAACGCACTCGTTCCGTCTCCACTCGCAGCCACATTGATTGTCACTTATGACGACGAGCGACTCTTAACTCCACGAATGTATTCGAAGTGTCGTTTACGTGTGTATAACAGATGTACAGCCCACGTTTGCTAGCTAGCGTGCTAACAACAAGGCTCGTTTGGCTGACGTTGTGGGTTTACGCCGAACCCGGACCACGTTGTCCCCGAAAATCCATGTCCGATACTGGCGTGACAAGTCAACACGTACTCGGGAGGTAATGGTGTGGCTGACGTTCTTCTACAAACTGTTTCACACCGCTCAGTATGTATGGCAATTAAACGACGTGAACGGCAGACCGAAAAACAGACTGCTACGGAATGATGGGAGCCCACCCACACTAACGAATCGGTACAGATTGTTGTTGTAAATCTTTTGTAACGTTAAATAAGCAGACTGGCGCTTCTTTAATATAATGTCACTGCTGTCGGTCAATTTACAGTGTGTATAATACAGACTGCGACAAAAGTTAACGGAGGAGGAAGGATGGACAACAACTAGGGCGGTTTGAAGGGAAGGGTGGTTGAAGGTAACTAGCATGCCGCGGAATGAAGGAAGGATGGGAGAGAGCAAGGGGATGGTTTGAAAGAATGCAGACGGAAATAAGGCTTAAAGGATGGTTTGGATGGAGGATAGGAAGGAATTATGCAAGGATATGTGGATGGTAGGAAGAATGGATGAAGGGAATGATGAAGAAATGAACGATGCAACAAGAATGGTTAGAATGGACCTCCGTTTGATATGAAAAGAATGCAGAAGGAATGAATGATTCAAGAATAATATGGATGGAAGGAAACAAGGATTCAAGGATGTTATGGAACGAAAGAGGAAATAATAGGGGAAGAGAGGATGTATGGCAAGGAGGAAGGCGGAAGAAAAGAGGGATTCAAGGATGTATGAAAGGAAGGATGGAAGATGAGAAGGAAGGAGTGAGATGGAAGAATACAAGGATGTGAGAAAGAAAGGATTCTTCCTTTTATGAGGAAAAGAAGGTTGGATGGTTGGATTGTAAAAAAAAAGCAAGGATGAAGACGGAAAGGATGGAAGGGCTTGACCTTGAAAGCCTATTTTGAAACCTTAACCCATCGGTTTAAAACCCTATGCCTGTTTTTTAAAAACCCTCTCCCTGGTTTGAAGCCATGATTTCAAATCCTAAATCCGGATTTTGACCTGGGCATGTGCTGTGATTAAAAAGCATGACATCTAATTTCCACTGAGTAAAAAAAGATGACTATTCTGTGGAATTATGTACCTAACACCTCACAACTTCTTAACCCTATTGCATAAGGCCTGTTGTTAACAATCTTGATGTAAAAATTGACCAGAATTTAAAAGGGAATTAAAAAGGGAACACCTGGTTCACTCTAATGAGTTCTTGTTTCTTACAAGAAATGTAAAATTAATTGTCCAACGTGTTAGCCAACCCTGTTGTTATGTGTGCTGTAAATAAATTTGGATTGCGTTCTATTTTGTGTGCCTGACTTGTAGTGGATCGGAGGGGCGAGTCCGAGGAGTCGGGCGACGACGAGACCAGGAAGAAGAGCATCAATGGCGACATGGATCCAAATCTGCCTCCCGCCACGAGTATGTCATCCCAACCCGTTCGCTCAATCGGAACAGCAATCACAAGTGATGTTTCTGGTCCTGTAATGCAGGAATGATTGGATGTTAAAGCAAAGGTCTTCTCTCACTTCTGTTATGTTATGATTTCACTTCACCTAGGTAAAGAAGAGTCACCCGTTGACATGGACACCATCACCTTGGACCCGGAGGAGGAGGTGAGAGGAAGCTGTTTAACATATTATCTCTGTCAGGCAAATATTTCCTCTGACATTATTTGCCCATATTCACTTTGTTTTCATAAATCATTACTTTTGGTTTGTTGGGACTCACCAATGCTCTTGATTTAAAAAAAATGTCATTTTGAGTGTGTTATTTTTACAAATTATTAACTAATTCCAAGTGTTGGAATTAGCTTGATCTTTTTAACAATGCAATGTTGACAAAAAATATGCAATATGTTTTTTTTTAAGTTTTGGAGATGCAAAGATATCACTCCATGGCAGCAATGCGATTAAACAAGAATCAGAATTTCTCATAACTGATCACTGAATCATTTCTCAACTCAACTCAACTCCACTGTATTTATAGAGCACTTTAAAACAACCACGGCTGTATACAAAGTGCTGTACATGGAGCAAATATTATTTATACAACAATAAACAATAAAACAGTGAATGAATAATGAAGACAGTAGAAAACACAAAAACTAAGATCAAGTCTGAGTCATGCTGAGTCATTTGTTAAAAAAATAAAAGATTGTGTTAAATGTTGGGGCATTCAAATTTAACACAAGCTGTCATTCTGGGATTGGTGGTCCACCTCGCTCCCTTTTTTTTCATATTTAGAATCATTTCCTCCCTAAGAATGAAAATTTAAAAAGATCCCAATAATCAGACCTTTATCTCTGCAATGTTTTGGGTTATATTTGAACATTTTTAACCATTTCAAAATATGGTAACCTCTGTAAAATTTTATGTAAACACAAATGTCTAGTCATCATTCTGATGATGATTAAACTTTTAGTTAAACTAAACTAGTTGGACTTTTGTGAAGATTTTCACTTCCACCTCTGTATGAAATGACCTGACTGTTTGTTTGTTCATTTATTTATTTACACAGGATGTTGACCTAGTTCACTGCCGTATTGGAAAAATTGAAGGACTGGGAGTGCTACAGAAAGCAAAAGTAAGTCCATGATATATTCAGCAATTGTTGTCAAAAAATTTTGTATCACTGAATTTTCAGTTTTTATTTTCCTCTTCAAAATCAAAGAAATACTCTCAAAACTGCAGTATTGTCAATCCTTTCTGCTCTTTGTCCACACAGACCCTTTCCTTACGACAGAATCTGATCAAAAAAATTGAAAATCTCGACAGTTTGAGCTCACTGCGGGAACTCGATTTGTATGACAATCAAATCCGCAAGTTGGAGAACCTGAACAAGCTCACGCAGTTGGAGTAAGTATAGATTTTAATGATATACAGTGAACCCCTGAATATTTGCAAATTTGCCTTGTAAGAAAGAGGATTTTCTGTCTGGGGCGGCGGACCGATCCTCACCTATTCATTGTTTTTGCGCTCAGGTCAAAGCCATGTTTAATATCAAAATATTACTTTGGCAACACCTAGGGGCCAAGTAATTGTGTGGAAACAAGGAAAGGATTAATCAGCCCATAGCCTTGTCTAATATAAAAAAAAGTGCTTCATCATAGTCTGCTTGCCTAAAGCTAAAACACAATTCAAAATGCCATAGGCAGGCTAACAGAACTAGCATCAATGATGCAATAGTTTAAAAAAATGGACAGTTAAACATACATTTTTGTGACATGCTTAGACAGACCATATAACAAAACTCATGGTGATCCCTGTGAAAAACGATTAATCTTTTTTTTTTGGGTTTTTTTTTTTTTTTTTTTTTTTTTTGGGTCAACCACAGGCAGCTCGACGTGTCCTTCAACGTTCTGAGGAAGGTAGAAGGTTTGGAGCAGCTGACTCGGCTGAAGAAAGTTTTTTTGCTTCACAACAAAATCGGCAACATCGCCAACCTGGGCCACCTCCCCTGTCTGGAAATGCTAGAGCTGGGCTCCAATCGCATTCGCGTATGTTTGTCGTCACGCTTGCAAATGTGTTAATCAAGTCATTAGTCATGATCCTTTCTTTGTGTCCCCAGGTCATAGAGAACCTGGATACCCTCACGTCTTTGCAAAGCTTATTCCTCGGCACCAATAAAATCACCAAGCTGCAGAATATGGACAGTTTACACAGCCTGACTGTGTTAAGCATTCAGGTACCCAGCACTGACATGAAAGCAAGGGTTCACACATTTTGGGCCCAGGGACCATTTACAGGGAGACATTTTTCGAATGCTCATGGCAATTAATTTGAAATCCCACGGGAAACAGTTATGTGTATATTTTTAGATTTAGTTGAATTCAATATTTCAGCTAACCCAGAGATGGATAGAGCAGCCAAAAGTTGTATTCAAGTAACTCCTTCCTTCCAACTTCTTTGTGTTTACTTTCAGAGTAATCGGATTACTAAAATGGAGGGTTTACAGAACCTGGTCAGCCTGCGAGAGCTCTACCTGAGCCACAATGGCATTGAGGTCATTGAGGGCTTGGAAAACAATGTGAGTCAAGCAAAAACCTGTCCATTGTGCGCTCTGCTGGCTGTGAGAATTCACAACAGCAACAACAGCAGCTGCATGATGTTTTCTGTATCAGCCCAGCATGGCTCTCTCTCTCCCATCAGAAAAAGCTGACAACTCTGGACATCGCAGCCAACAGAGTGAAGAAGATCGAGAACATCAGCCATCTAACAGAGCTACAGGAGTTCTGGGTATGACTCAAGTATTTCATGTTTTTGTTTTTAAAATGTCCTCTGAACGCTCCTGCCATTTATTTCTCTTTGCTGACCATGGCTTGTGCTGTGAGATATCCATGCATCCATTATTTTCCAGTCTGCTTTATCCTCATGAGTGTCGCGGGCATGCTGGAGCCTATCCCAGCTGTCCTCAGGCAGTGGGCGTGGGACACCCTCAACTGGTTGCCAGCCAATCACAGGGCACACATTGAGTAACAACCATTCGCACTCACAGTCACGCCGAACGACAATTTAGAGTGTGCATTAAGTGCAAGAACTTATTTTGTCCATTGCCGCCCCCCCCCACACACACAAATCAATTCAGAATTTTTATATGACTGAGGTACTATGTTTGTGCTGGATATCATTCCAAATCCGCAAACAATTAAGCCTTACTGACTTTGTAGTATAAGTCAGTACAAAACCCAGTGTAAGTGCAACATGTCTGCCATCTTGTGGTGATAGTACAATTTAAAACTACAGTCGACCCTGCATATTCACAGTTGGTGACCTATACATTTGCATATTTGCAAATATATATATTTTTTAAACGTCCAGACCCACTCTAGAAGCTAATTAAAACTACCTGAATTTACAATGTCAAAATGAAATAAAGACTACAATAGAAAAATACCAACTGTTATTACCTTGTTGCTCTTTAGTCTGGATGTGTCTTGTAATTGGGTGGTGACCAGTACAGAACGTTTTCCACCTCTCACCCCAAGTCAGCTCTGATGGGGCTCCCACCTTAATAAACAAAGAGCACCAAAAAATAATGTCCTAAACGAGTGCTGTGACTCCCCTCAGATGAACGACAACCAGATCGACAACTGGTCGGATCTGGACGAGCTGAAGAATGCCAAATCCCTGGAGACTGTCTACCTGGAGAGAAACCCCCTGCAGAAGGACCCACAGTATCGGCGAAAGATCATGCTGGCTCTGCCTAGCGTGCGCCAGATCGACGCCACCTTCATCCGCTTTTAAACATGCAGTACGGTATAATGCCGTCCACTTCAGTGTTGCAGCCTCCCCCCACCACCCCACACACACACACACACACACACCTCCCACCTGCCACACCTCCAGCCGTCACTCACCGAATCCTCCTTTTTCCATACACATAATATAGAGTGCAACGTGAAAGTCACCCACGTCTGCACTCATCTGCAACTCCATCCGTGAGTTGGAAACGTATTTATTTATGCCGCTGGAAATTAACTGTGAAGTAATTTCAAATGCATCACTTTCCTATTATTGATCGTGCAACCAACAACATATTTGTCACATTTCGAAAGATCTAAAAGGGAAGAGGGAACACTCACAAAAACAGTGCTACCTTGACTTAAGATAATAAAACCTTTAATAGTCTCACAATGGAGATATTCCCACTTCACAGCAGCAAAGTTATGAGAGGAAGAAGTAGAAGAACAAAATAAATAGGAGCTGCTGGAAAGGCAGCCACTCTCGTGGCGCCATCTTGAAGTCAAAACAGCACAACAAAACACAAGAGACAGACAGCCATGCAATCTGAATCACTTTTCCTGCATGTACTTTGTTGTTTGAAGCAGTTATAGATGAAAGAGGAGAGGATCAAAGTGTCCTCTCACCAGTGGATCAGAGAGTGTCATGCTGAAAATGTGCACACGTCTGCTACAAGCTAAGTTTCGAAAGCCAACACGAAGCTGTAGCGTCCATTGACGAAAAGAGATTGGCTCACATCTCCTGTCCCACGTAATCCACTTCAACTCCAAAGCCGTGACTCCTAGTTCCACATCCGCATCGGCGTTCTGCGCTGACGCTCCTTTCTTCTCATCGTCGGCTCCTCAAGCCTTGACCTACAAGCCACTTGACCTACCTTGACCGTTATCACTTTGACCTGATATACACAAAGACAATCAGGCCGTTATTATCCAGATTTTAGCCCCTTCTCGACCAAGGACGTCAAGTACTAGACTATCTTATATCTTATTAGATAGTAGATAGTAAGATTATCATTTCATCTCAATGTGTTAAGCGTGCATTTGTCCCTATAATAGTGTCTACAATATTGTCTTAAATATTAAACATTTTCAGTTGGTTGCGGTAAATAAAATAAAATGCCACCTGACCAATGTCATCTTTGGAATGAAAGTGGGCTTCCAGATGAACCGAAATATTTTCTAAAGCAAGTCTTATTTGCCATCATGGCTCCCTTTGGTCCTCTTTGGAAACACTTGGGTAACATCGGCCCATATCCCGAAGTGTCTATTTTTTGTTTTGCTTTGTTTTTTGTTTTCGTTCGTTTTTCTTTTTGGTTACAAGTGAGCTTCAAATATGCTGCCACTGGAGTGAAGGGAAAAGAAAACAAACAAACAAAAGCAATTAAGGTACTGTAATTCTGTGTCATGTGGGCAAGGAAAGCTGCTGTCGGCCGCAACCCAGATGTTCATCTACAGGCTCACTGACTCAAGCTTGTGATGTAATTCAATAGGCTAAGCCCATCAAAGGCACACATTCAACTCTTATTAAAATGATGTATAAAAAAATCATACTTGGTGGCTGCTGAATTCATGACTATTCATTTCAATGAGGAATGCTGATTTGACATGAGTAAACGTGAACAAATTTAAGTTATAAGTCAAGGTAGCACTGCACTACAAGCTGGGCCAAAAGTAGGTATGCACTTTGAAAGTGATGAAAATACAGAAAACAGTTTTATTACATTCATTTTTTTTCTGTGACATCTTTTCTGACCGCCTTCCTTGAGAGTTGCTCTTTATTCTTACATCCTGTCTCCTTTCTGTTGCTTAAACCAGCTTTTCTGCCTTTTTTTCCCTGACATCTCTGACCGCAGTCCGACCTTTCTTCCCCTCAGACAAAGGCATCATTTTCTTCTTTCCATAAACCTTCCTTCCATCATGCCTGTTTTTCATTCATGCATCATTATTACCTTCCTTCACATGCTTTTCGGCCCTCGCTCCCTTCCTATAGTCTCAGATATGCTTCCTCACTTGGTCACTCCCATCATTACTACTTTGCTGCCTTCCTCTCTTTGGCACCTGTCCAATAATATTTTAGAATTTACGTTCTTTTTTTTCTGGCTCAATTTATTTTAAATTTGTGGTACCTTTTACATTTTTTAAACAAAAAAAACCATTTTCATTTAATAAGAGTATTCCTACTTTTTGCCCGCCTTGTATATCCCGTATTTGAGCTTATTGAAAACACTCCCAAAGTAGGCATTAAACCTTTAAATCGGAAGATGCATCTTTTCAAACTTAATTGCAAGTTTCATGTGTATGTTTTTAAAATAATTTATAGCAAAACGCGCCGAATGTCCCCCAGTCTTGTCTCGTCCATCTTACGACTGAGTGACACCTCTGTCGTCAAATAAAGCTTACAAGAATGTAACATCTGTGTCCGTCTAGGATGGTAAATAATCATTTTTTATTTTTGTTTTAGTGTGCGTGTAATACTGATGACAGCTTTGTTTCTTTTGCTTGTTCCATTGTCAGATTTGTTTGGAGTGCTTCACAAAGGTTTTTACTGGTTTACCTCGACCTATGAGACGGGATGACAGTTTATAGATGCTGCAGTGACACATTCTGTATTATTTATTGACAGTTGCACTCAACACCAAAAAAAAAAAAAAAAATAACAAGCTGAGGGGCTGTTTGTGTGGTGATCTCTTGTAAAAGTGAGAGCACTTGATTTGATCCATGTATACCTTCAAAGAAATAATGAGTTGATTTTGTTTTTTTAATGGAGTTAAGAAGTTATACACCTTGTAGATATTATTTTACACTTGGTTTTAAGGAAATACAATGACAAATAATGGCGTGAAAGAGTGTTTTGCCGTGACCTGAAGTGGTTCGAATCAAGTGATCTTAAATTGTCACTGAAACAGTAAACTGATATACTATTTGTTGTTTAAATAATCTACATCACAGGGTTTTTGGACTTGAAATGGAATGTATTATGCAAACAACAATAAATGTATAGTACTACTACTTATTAAAGTTTTGCTTTTCATTTGTGACTTTTGACAGTGGTAGAAAGCACAGAAAATTCATTATTGTACTTAAGTAGATTTTTCAAGGATCTATACTTTAGAGGAGTGTTCATTTTTCTGACAACTTCTACTTGAACTCCCCGCGTTTCAAAAGAATTATCGACTTTTTACTCTGAAACTGGTGTGGTTACTTTTTCCGTAAAAGACTACAACTCCCACAATGCACCGTTTGCGTAAGGCGACGTCGCCGCCACTCGTGTCAGGCCGAGGGGGGAAAGTGTCGCTGCGCATGCGCGTCATTTATGTTGTTGTTTGTGGCGGTAAGATGGCGGCGCTCGGAGACACCTCGGCTCCGGGGGTGAACGGGTTAATACAACAATTCACAGCAATAACAGGTAAAAACCACAGTTGGTTTCCAGCCTAATTCGAGGGATAACGTGTGGGAACGTGCAGGAACGGCTCCCCGTGTCGGGACCGACCAGGAAATGCGTGCGCACTTGTAAGCAGGGACGTTCAATGTGGCTGGTGCCCCTCCGCTGTCAGTGGGGGGAAAAAAAGCACAGCCCGTGTTAACTGGCCAACTCCACTAAAAGACTCTCCACTCGTGAATGGGTGCGAAACGTAAAGCTCTACAACATCAACTTAACCTCTCCTCTGTAGTGGTTAGTGGCGATCACCACAAGTTACATATTGTGAGCCCGTAGCTGTTTTTTATACCACTTTTAGACACTGCCTGTCGTGCGTAATTGCAGAATGGAGGTTTGCCTTCCTTCATCATCACCGCCTTTTGCTACTACTTGTCATCTCTTTAAAAAACGTGACTGGCGTTAAAACACCATGCGTCTTGGTGTAGTTTTTAACCTGCACATTAGAGAACCGCACGCCCCACAAACCGTTGCTCGTGTGCAGGCGATCAAAAAGTAGAGAGAATGTAAAGTTTATTAGTTTGTTTGATAGGCTACCGCTCCACCATGTTGGAAGACTGGAAGGCGCATGCGCAGTAAGGGACGGAAGCCTGAAAGCGCTCCCGTGCAGGAAATGCTAAAACTTAAACAAAACTGAAACAAACTACGCAGCGAGAACAGTAAAATACTTTTTGTTTCGTGTAAATGCTTGGTAACTTACTACGTACTACTGCCATACTAGGAAAACAAGTTAGGGATCACATTATAACTTGATGAATTTCACATTTTAACCTGATACATGTCAAGTTTCACCGTAAAAAGTTATGTTATCAAAACGTTATACACTCAATTTTCACAGTCGCATTCGGCGAAACGTTGCAATTCCTTCCAGTTTAAGTTGCTGGCCTGTGTGGGCATGGGCGCTGGGGGACTTGAGGGGGGGGAAGGGACAGGAGAGCGGCTTGATGCATCAAATGAATAATAAGAAGCATCCACAGGCTTCTTTTGGGAGTTTCTCTAAGGCACTTCTCAAAGGGCAATCCTTTGCAGCGGTTTCGATGTATGTGCTCGTGTCCGTGTGCATGCAAGAAGGGCTGTGCAAGGTGGGATCCAGAAACGCAAGACGGCTATCTCTTCTGGAAGAACTCTACCGATTCATGTAGGTTTGTTTATCTTCGAGTAAGCGAGCGGGATGTGCTTGAAAAGGGCTTGAAACAGAACTGAACATCTTTTGTTGTGGGCTGGAGCATTAAAGTGCAATTGACTCAAGGTTAAAAAGAAAGCTTTGTCACACGGTTAGGGCTCGTCGGTTCTGACCGTTTTCTCTTTGTCTTTAGCTAGATTTGTAACGTGCAGAGTCAAGTGCTTTTGCCTTTTGTCAGCAAACGAAACTTTGCATCTGTAACTTTTCACCAAAAGCCAAGACATACTGTGTGTTGTGTTAACTGGGCCTCGACTTTTTGACTGGCATGTTATTTTCTGTTTGTTTGTTTTGGAATCAGATCTTCTGTGCATTGCCTTCCTACCTAGATATAACTTGTGTTAGATGGGATATAAAATGGCGTCCACCAGAGCTTTTATTTTTTGTGCTGCTCATCTGGAACTTTTGAGGCAGTTGGAAAATGACTCTTCTTCTTTTGTGTATTCTGTGTGGCACTGCAGTCAGTGAGCCGCTGTTGTGATACAATGTGATTGTTGTGCTTTGGAAAACAATGGCCACGACGAGTACATCCGGTTGTGTTCATGTACTTGACGTCATTGTGATGATGATGATTCTGATACTGGTGATGATATTGTTAGTGTACTTTTATGGCCCCCCCCCCCCCACCACCAC